AAAAAAAAGAGGCTCAACCTTACTAGTCATTTGGGAGATGCACATACACTAGTTTGGCTATAATAAAAAAACAAAAACAAAAACAAAAACAAAACAAAACAGAGCCAGGCACAGTGGCCCACGTCTGTAATCCCAGCACTTTAGGAGGCTGAGGTGGGTAGATCACTTGAGGTCAGGAGTTTGAGACCAGCTTGGCCAACATGGCAAAAACCAGTCTCTAGGCTGGGCACAATGGCTCATGCCTGCAATCCCAGCACTTTGGGAGGCTTATGAAGGCAGATCACAAGGTTAAGAGATTGAGAACATCCTGGCCAACACGGTGAAACCCTGTCTCTACTAAAAATACAAAAATTAGCTGGGTGTGGTGGCGCATGCCCACAGTCCCAGCTACTCAGGAGGCTGAGGCAGAAGAATCACTTGAACCTGGGAGGCAGAGGTTGCAGTGAGCCAAGATCGCATCACCACACTCCAGCCTGGCAATAGAGGAAGACTCCGTCTCAAAAAAACAGAAACAAAATCTGTCTCTATTATAAATACAAAAATTAGCTGGGCGTGGTGGTACATGCCTGTAATCCCAGCTACTTGGGAGGTTGAGGCAGGAGAATCGCTTGAACCTGGGAGATGGAGATTGCAGTTACTGCACTCCCGCCAAACTGATGAAGACTCTGTCTCAAAAACAAAACAAAACAAAACAAAACAAAAACAAAATGGAAAATAACAAGTGTTGGTGACGATGTGGAGAAACTGGAACCCTCATACAAGGTTGGTAGGAATGGAAGACAGCACAGCCACTCTGAAAAACACTTTGGTTGTTCCTCAAAAAATTAAACATAGACATACCATAGGATCAAGCAATTCCACTGCAAGATCTATTCCCCAAATAACTGAATGCAGGTAATCAAATACACATACATACATGTTAACAGCAGCTGTACTCACAATAGCTAAAAGCTTGAAATAACCCTACTGTCCATCAATAATGAATGGCTGAAGAAATTGTGAGGCTAGGCACAGTGACTCACAACTGTAATCTCAGTGCTTTGGGCACTGAGGCAGGAGAATCACTTAAGCCCAGGAGTTAAAGACCAGCCTGGGTAACACAGGGAGACCTCTTCTCTCCAGAGAAAAATAATTAGCCACATGTGGTGGCGTGCACCTGTAGTTCCAGCTACTTGGGAGGCTGAGGTGGATCATTTGAGCCTGGGAAGCGGAGGGAGCTGTGATCACACCACTGCCCTCCAGCTTGAGTGACATAGCGAGACTGTCTCAACAAAAAAAAAGAAGGAAAGAAAAATCAATTGTGGTATGTGCATACAACAGAATACTACTCAGCCATAAAAAGGACCATACATGGTCTAACCCTAGAAACATGCCAAGTAAAAGTAGTTCAATACAAATGGTGACACATTGTCTGCTTCTACTCATATGAAATATCCAGAACAGGCAAATCCCTAGAGGCCAAAAGTACATGGCTGGTTGCCAGAGACTGGGGGCAAAGTGGAATGAGGAGTTCACACAGAAGACTAGAAAGAAATTATTTAGGCAAACAGTTAGGGCAAAGAATCCTCAGCAGAGTTTTTTTTTTTTTTTTTTTGAGACGGAGTCTCGCTCTATCGTCCAGGCTGGAGTGCAGTGGTGTGATCTTGGCTCACTGCAAGATCTGCCTCCCGGGTTCACGCCATTCTCCTGCCTCAGCCTCCCGTGTAGCTGGGACTACAGGCGCCCGCCACCACGCCAGGCTAATTTCTTTTCTTTTCTTTTTTTTTTTTTTGAGACGGAGTCTCGCTCTGTCGCCCAGGCTGGAGTGTAGTGGCCGGATCTCAGCTCACTGCAAGCTCCGCCTCCCGGGTTCCTGTCATTCTCCTGCCTCAGCCTCCCGAGTAGCTGGGACTACAGGCGCCCGCCACCTCGCCCAGCTAGTTTTTTGTATTTTTTAGTAGAGACGGGGTTTCACCGTGTTAGCCAGGATGGTCTCGATCTCCTGACCTCGTGATCCGCCCGCCTCGGCCTCCCAAAGTGCTGGGATTACAGGCTTGAGCCACCGCGCCCAGCCTATTTTCTTTTCATACTTTTAGTAGAGATGGTGTTTCACCGTGTTAGCCAGGATGGTTACAATCTCCTGACCTTGCGATCCACCCACCTCGGCCTCTCAAAGTGCTGGGATTACAGGCGTGAAGAATTTCTTAATTCTAACAGAAAGTAGCCCCCTAAATAATTTCTTTTCTAATAAAGAGCAGCCTGGAAACTCAAGCTGCAAACATAGATTTGGAAGATAGCTGGAAGCTTGCATGTGGGAATGCTGGTAGCTGCACCAACAGAAAAGGGGTACCTGGGAGCCAGGCATATCCAACACGGAGGCTCCATCTCCCCTTTTTTTCTACCACGTATACAGGAACTAAGAAATGGGCAACATGCGGCTGGGCAAGGTGGCTCACATCAGTAATCCCAGCACTTTGGGAGGTAGAGGTGGGCAGATCACCTAAGGTCAGGAGTCGAGACCAGCCTGGCCAAGTGGTGAAATCCTGTCTCTACTAAAAGTACAAAAAATGAGTCGGGCATGCTGGCAGGCGCCTGTAATCCCAGCTACTTGGGAGGCTGAGGCAGGAGAATCCCTTGAACCCAGGAGGCGGAGGTTGCAGTGAGCCTAAATCACGCCATTGCACTACAGCCTGGGTGACAGGGCGAGACTGTCTCAAAAAAAAAAAAAAAAAAAAAGAAAAGAAAAGAAATGAGCAATGTGGCACAGCTCCAGGTAGAGACCCCAGCTGCATAATGAAAGATTAGCAGATACCAGAAATTCGCACCCTATGCAAACGGCACACTTATTCTAACCAGTTTTTCAGCCCCTATGTAAATCAGGCTCTGCCTCCTCACCAGCTCATCTATAAAACCTCTGCATTTTGCTGTGGACCAGCAACCATTTTTCTGGGACCCCTCTCTGTAGCAGAGAGTTATTTTCGCCATTGCCTATTAAACTTTCGTTCTCAACCTCACTCTTTTTGTGTCCCGGTCCTTGTTCTCCACGGCTGTGAGACAACAAACCTTGGGTGTGACTCAAGACAACGAGGCCGTTTCAGAATCACTGCTTAATGGGTACCGGGATCCTTACTGGGCCGACGAAAATGGAACTACACAGAAGTCACTACACAACATTGGAATGTACTAAATGCCACTGAATTGCTAATTTTAAAATAGTTATTTTTATTTTTTTGACACGGAGTCTTGCTCTGTCACCCAGGCGGGAGTGCAGTGGCAGATCTTGGCTCACTGCAAGCTGCACCTCCCGTGTTCACACCATTCTCCTGCCACAGCCTCCTGAGTACCTGGGACTACAGACGCCTGCCACCATGCCCGGCTAATTTTTTGTATTTTTGGTAGAGACGGGGTTTCATCGTGTCAACCAGGATGGTCTTGATCTCCTGACCTTGTGATCCGCCTGCCTCAGCCTCCCAAAAGTGTTGAGATTACAGGCGTGAGCCACCACACCCGACCTTAAAATGGTTAATTTTATGCAATGTGAATTTTACTGTATTTTTTAAATATCAATTTTAGTAATCCCAACAGTTTGGGAGGGTGAGGAGGCAGGTGGATGGCTTGAGTCCAAGAGTCTGAGACCAGCCCGGGCAACATAGGGACATCTCATCTCTACAAAAAATTAGGCATGTGGTCCGAGCTACTCAGGATGTTGAGCCGGGAGAATCACTTGAGCCCAGGAGGTCGAGATTGCAGTAAGCCATGATGGCCTCACTACATTCTAGTCTGGGTAACACAGCAAGACCCTGTCTTAAAAAAAAAAAATCCAGCTGGGCACAGTGGCTCACGCCTGTAATCCCAGCACTTTGGGAGGCCAAGGTGGACGGATCACAAGGTCAGAAGATTGAGACCATCCTGGCTAACACGGTGAAACCCCGTCTCTACTAAAAATGCAAAAAATTAGCCGAGTGTGGTGACACGTGCCTGTAGTCTCAGCTACTCGGAAGACTGGGGCAGGAGAACCCAGGAGGTGGAAGTTGTAGTGAGCTGAGATCACACCACCGCACTCTAGCCTGGGCAGCAGAGGGAGACTCCGTCTCAAAAGAAAAAAAAAGGAATCATCCATTCTCCACTATTATTTCAAATTGTCCAAGCAGTGAGTGTAAATGATAGAAAAACTTGGAGTGAAAAGGAATACCAAACTGACATTACAAAGAGCTACTTCCCCAAATTTTCCAAATGCAGGAAACTGCTGACAATAGCCAGCTGTATTTGAGGGGTCTTTGTCATCACCTGCCAACCTTTTCAGGGTTTATCTTTGACGACTAAACATTTCCGTGTACACAGTTTATGTTTAGATGGGAACCAAATAACAGATTATTATTTACTAAGGGCCCGTGACATGCCACGCACTGTGGAGGTAAGCACTCAACAAGCATTTCACTTATCCTTAAGACAGCCCAGTAGGGTAGACCTATTTATCCTCATTTTGCAAAAGAGGAAACTGACGCTCAACAGAGGGACTGTCTCAAGTAATGGGTGGGGCAGGAGTTGAAATGTAGCTCCCAGTTCGACGCCACGTTCGACGCCTGAAGCAATGTGGGAGAATCGCAAGGTGGCTCCCAGTCCCACACTCTCCTCACCTCTTCCTACCTGGGCTGTGGTTTTTCTGACCCGATTCTACTGTAATGGCTCTGTTTACCTGCTGGCCCTTGAGGTGCATGGTGTGGCCACACCCCTCCACTGTCTATAAGCCAGGAAAGTGCTAAATATGAACCAAGCCTCATCTCAATTCTCACAGCCGGCCTATAGGGTGGTCGTTCCATCACTCCCGACTTACGAGGAAACTGATACGCTGATGCTTCTAAGGCTCAAAAGGCGTCGAACCTGGAGCCACGCTCCCAGAGCAAGCAAAACACGACGCCACAGGTTATCTCCGCCCCGCCCCCCAGCTGAGCCTTTTTATAAGCGAGCCCTACGGGTCGCGTACAGGGCCACGCCTAGTCCCTATTTTTGGGTCCACTCCACCCCGTCGATCCTGCCAAAGCTGGTCTCGCGCGGCGCACTGTGGGAAAACCGCGGGGAGGTGCCTAAAGCGGACCCTGCCGCCTCTAACTTTAGTTGTCTTAGCTACTGCCTACAAAAGATGCGCCATTGTGGCACTTATTTTTGTAATTTTCCTCCACCAGCGGCCGAGACGAGAGCCGAAGCCTTTGAAAAAAATATTCCTAGACGGTTGTATTTCCGGGCGCATCAGGCATTCATTCGGGCAGCCTGTCCCTCCGGAGGGGTCCTTCACTCCTGGCACCTCTGGTTACGGACAACGTACAGAAGCGACTGCCAATGAGCTCCGCTGAGTAGGACAGGGGCAGGGCTAGCGCTTAAAGGAGCCGCGACCCCTTTGCAGACCAGAGGGTGACCCGGATGATGGCGGCCGGCGCGGCCTTAGCCCTGGCCTTGTGGCTACTAATGCCACCAGTGGGGGTGGGAGGGGCCGGGCCCCCGCCAATCCAGGACGGTGAGTTCACGTTCCTGTTGCCGGCGGGGAGGAAGCAATGTTTCTACCAGTCCGCGCCGGCCAACGCAAGCCTCGAGACCGAATACCAGGTAGAGGGTCGCGAGCTGGGCAGCCAGCGGAGTCAGGGAGAGGGGGCGTGGCCAAGCGGCCGGGGCGAGGCGCGCTTTAGGAGGAAGGCGGAGGAGTCCGTGCTTGGGAGCGCGGGGGCGGAGCTAGCAAGAGATGGACAGATGGGGCGGGGACGGTGTGTGGGAGCGGAAGGGGAGGGAGTAATAAGGCAGGGCTAGAGTGAGAGATCGAGTGGGCGGGGCCAACCATAAGTATAGGGAGCCTCTGAGGACAGGATTCTCGCTGGTGGGCGTGGCGATAGTGCTGATAGGTCGACTATGGGGACGTTTCCGACACATGCCTTTCTTGGGAATTAGACTAAGGAAAAAGGCTGGGCCTATCCTCTTTCGGAGGCGGAGCCAAGCGGGGGCGTGGTCAGGTAAGCTTCCATTAAGGACTTTTGATAGGTGCGTGGTCAGCTGAGAGTATGGACCCCAAGCTGTCATATCAATGAGGGTAGAGGCAAGGGGCGCAGCCACTGGGACAGGTGGGGGCGGGACCGGTTGTGGGTATGCCACCGTTCAGGTAAGCCCTTGGTGGTCTGTACTGATCAGTGTTGGTTCAGCAGTAGCCCTCTTTGGCAGGCGCCCTTGGCCTACCGCTAGCCCTCCACCCACTCTTACCTGTCCCCCAGGTGATCGGAGGTGCTGGGCTGGACGTGGACTTCACGCTGGAGAGCCCTCAGGGCGTGCTGTTGGTCAGCGAGTCCCGCAAGGCTGATGGGGTACACACGTGAGTTCAGTCCTGATGCCTTCCTGGGTTCAGTTACAGCCCTGCCCCTCCCAGGCGGCCTCAGGTTACCGCCCTGACTGCCCCAGAGTCGGCTGGCCGGCCACCCTGGTTCATGTTTGTGTGTCTGTCTGCCCAGCGTGGAGCCAACGGAGGCCGGGGACTACAAGCTGTGCTTTGACAACTCCTTCAGCACCATCTCCGAGAAGCTGGTGTTCTTTGAATTGATCTTTGACAGCCTCCAGGATGACGAGGAGGTCGAAGGATGGGCAGAGGCTGTGGAGCCCGAGGAGATGCTGGATGTTAAAATGGAGGACATCAAGGTGTGTCCCGGGTGCACTGAGGCCACTCCTTCCAGATCTCTAGGATTCATCTGGGGCGCCCCCCTTGGGCTGACCTAGCCTCCCCTCCGAAGTGGTACCCCCAACTGAATTATAGTAACAGTAGCAGCTCTTAAAATAAGTAGTTCATTTCAGGCCAGGCGCGGTGGCTCACGCCTGTAATCCCAGCACTTTGGAAGGCTGAGGTGAGTGGATCACCTGAGGTCAGGAGTTCGAGACCAGCCCGGCCAACATGGTGAAACCCCACCTCTACTAAAAATATAAAAATTAGCTGGGTGTGGTGGCGGGTGCCTGTAATCCCAGCTACTCAGGAGGCCGAGGCAGGAGAATCACTTGAACTCAGGAGGTGGAGGTTGCAGTGAGTTGAGATCACGCCACTGCACTCCAGCTGGGGCAATAAGAGCGAAACTCCGTCTCAAAAAAAAAAAAAAAAAGTTCATTTCTAGGTGTAAACCCTGGTGTAAAGGTTTAAGGAACTCATATCATAAATAACTTCATACTGTAAAACTCTATAACCACCTTGTGAAGTAGACCCCGTGCTCAAATCATCCCTATTTTACAGGTGGGAAAAGTGAGATACAGGATGGCTGAGCAACTCATGGCCACACAGACGAACTAGTAGAGTTGGTATTGAACCCACGCTGGTTTCAGCAACTATTCTCTTAACCACAAGCAAATATGTTCTGTACATTTATTAGTATTTTAAGTAACTACTTCTTTATTTTCTTTTTTTAATTTAATTTTTTTTTTTTTTTTTTGAGACGGAGTCTCGCTCTGTCACCCAGGCTGGAGTGCAGTGGCGCAATCTCGGCTCACTGCAAGCTCCGCCTCCCGGGTTCACGCCATTCTCCTACCTCAGCCTCCCGAGTAGCTGGGACTACAGGCGCCCGCCACTGCGCCCGGCTAATTTTTTTCTATTTTTTAGTAGAGACGGGGTTTCACCATGGTCTCGATCTCCTGACCTTGTGATCCGCCCGCCTCGGCCTCCCAAAGTGCTGGGATTACAAGCGTGAGCCACCGCGCCTGGCCTACTTCTTTATTTTCAAACAGATCTCTCTTGGTCACCCAGGCTGGATTGCAGTGGTACGATCTCAGCTCACTGCAACCTCTGCCTCCCAGGTTCAAGCAGTTCTCCTGCCTCAGCCTCTGGAGTAGCTGCACTACCACGCCTGACTAATTTTTGTGTTTTTAGTAGAGACAGGGTTTCACCATGTTGGCCAGACTGGTCTCAAACTCCTGACCTCAGGGGATCTGTCCACCTTGGCCTCCCAAAGTTCTGGGATTACAGGTGTGAGCTACGGCGAGGCAAGGTCTTGCTGTGTCACTCAGGCTGGAGTGCAGTGGTGTGAATCATAGCCCATCGCAGCCTCCAACTCCTGGGCTCAAGCAATCCTGCCACCTCAGTGAGACTACAGGTGTGCACCACCATGCCTAATTTTTTGTTTTCTGTAGAGACGAGGTTTCACCATGCTGGCCAGGGTGGTCTTGAACTCCTGGGTTTAAATGATCCTCCTGTCTTGGTCTGTTTGCATTACACATGTAATCTTGCCTCAGCCTCCTGAATAGCTGGGATTAGTTGCGCATCACCACCCCTGGCTGATTTTTTGTAGAGATGGGGTTTTGCAATGTAGCCCAGGCTGGCTTCAAACTCCTGGGCTCAAGCGATCCTCCCACCTCAACCTTCCAAAGTGCTGGGATTACAGGCATGAGCCACCATGCTCGTCCTTGTGCATTTATTTAGGCATGAAATTTTCACAGCAGCTTGGAAGCTTATAGAAGAGGAAACAGGCTCAGATAGGTTAATTAAGTTGCTCATGGTCACACAGCCAGTGAGTGGCAGGGCGAGGATTTGAACTTAGCCTGAACAAGTCTGTGTTTGCAGCTGTACCTTCCTGGGCTAATACAGCCTCCCTCCATATCTCCCGGTTTTTTTGGTCTCTGGTTCCCGATGGGCGGAGGGAGGCCTGACCCTTCCCCTCCCTCTGCCCCGCAGGAGTCCATTGAGACCATGCGGACCCGGCTGGAGCGCAGCATCCAGATGCTGACGCTACTTCGGGCCTTCGAGGCACGTGACCGCAACCTGCAAGAGGGCAACTTGGAGCGGGTCAACTTCTGGTCAGCTGTCAACGTGGCGGTGCTGCTGCTGGTGGCCGTGCTGCAGGTCTGCACACTCAAGCGCTTCTTCCAGGACAAGCGCCCGGTGCCCACGTAGCCCCTGCCACGGAAGGAAGAACGGGACGAAGGAGGGGTAGCGGGGTGTGTGTGTATGAGACTTGGGGATCCCTCCCCAATTTTAGTTTCCTGCCAAAACGGGTGTGTGCAGTCGGGGCCTGTAGTCTGGCCCCGTGAGTCTCCTTCCGTCCTCAGTGGGCAGGGAACACCTCTGGCTTGCAGAAGGGACGGCTCAGCGGCTGCACCGACGGTCCTGGAAATCTCACATGGTGGGCACTGCAGCGTTGGAACGTGAGCCTCAGATTTCCTGGCCCCTCTACTGTAAATGTGCCTTAGCCTAAGCCTTCCAGCCTGTGTTACCGTTGCCTGGTGCGGGGCAGGGCCTAACAAGGAAAGCTGGGCCCTCCAAGCCAGGCTGAGGTCTGGTAACAGAATGCCAGGAAGGGGGCCTGGAAGACCACCTGCCTGGGCCCCTTTTCCTGCAGGGCCCCACACAGGCATGAGGGATGGCCCGGCCAAAGTCTAGGCAGAAGCCTCCTGGAACAAAGGGTGGTGTGGCCTGGGCATCGGAGTCAATAAATTATGGTCAGAAAATCACAGAGCCTGCTGACTGGGGCTCAGGGACACCAGCTAGGACAGACCGGCCCCCGAAGGGGGCAGCCAGACAGGCGGGAGGGGCTTCCCACGAAGCTCAGAAGAAAGGTCTTGCGGGAGCCGATGGAGGTGGTCGCCTGGCACAAGAGAAAAATCAGAAAGCAAAGTTTAACTGAGTCCCAGTTGGGCCACAAGGCCTGGGCTTCCCCATGAGAGGGTGAGAGAAGCAGGGCCTGAGGGTAGGAAGTGGGTGGAGCACTGGGGTCCCAGCTTCACCAGGCAGCAGCCAGGCCTGTGCACATGGGGGTGTGTGGGGCATCAGAGAACATCTGCTCCCACTCCTCCCGTGCTAAGGAAAGTAAAAGCTCTCGCCTGTATCCAGTGGCTTCCTCTGAAAGGCGACACCCAGGAAAGCAGAGCCCTCAGGGAGGTGTGAGGCGCTTATGTTTGCAGGGACCTGGGCGTCCTTATGGGAGGCCTGATGGGGGAGGTGGCGCCCACGTCCCCAGCCCGAACACTAACACAAGAGGCCCACACAGCAGCCACCAGCAGCGTCTTCCCTTTATTTTAGTTTATTAATAGGATACAGAGTGCAGGCACTTACAGTGGTCAAACCGAGCGAGGAGTGGGTGAGGTCTGCTCAGAGAGAGGCCGCCCAGGGCCCACCCCATCAGGGAGGCATGGGTGGGAGCTGAGAGGCCCCCAAGGCCCCCCCCCCCCACCACCCACATAGCCCAAGCCCAGCCACCCTGGGGGACCCAGGAGGAGGAGGAGGAGAGGAGTAGGGCAAGGCTGGCCCGGGCCAACGGCTCCGGGCCTAGCAAAGGCACCTCTGGCAGCCGAGGCTGGGCCGGGCTCAGGCTGCGTGGTTAATATGGCCAGGAAGGACTATGTACACCTCAGGCCTGGCAGCCGGGCACTACTGAACCCACTGGGCCAGGCTTGCCGCTGGGGAGCTCCTGCTAATGAGAAGTTTATATACCCCTGCACCCCAGCAAGGCCTGGGGACATAGGCACCCTTGGTGCCCCCAATTCTAGAAGGCCTGCCCTACATGGGCCTTCCCAGCCCGAGAAGACCCTGGCAGAGTCCCCCCAAGGCTGGACCCCTCATTCAGGATGGCGTCAAGGGTTCAGATCCCCCTCTGCCACCCTGAGACTCCATCCCCCAAAGTGCATCACCCCAGCGCCCCCTGCCTGGAGCTCCAGGGCCCCTTTGCGCAGTGCGGTGTCCAGCCACGCATGGGGGCCGGCCCTGGACCGGGGCCAGCGTTAAGGAAGAGGCCAGGGCTGCCCACTGGGAGCCTGGTCCCGGCATAGGGGCGGCAGAGGGCCCCAGACCACCGAAGCTCCGGCGCCGCGGGTGCGTGAGGCCCCCCCAAGAGCACGCCCCCCTCGAGGCCTAGTCGAGCAGGGATGGCTCGGCTGGGCGGATAATGGTGGGCCGGCTGGGCGCAGCAGGGGGTCTTCTGCTGCAAAGAGAATAAAGACAGGTGGGGAGGGGGAGGCGGCAGTGAGGCCGTGAGCAGGAGGCAGGCCTGGGTTGAGGACCCAGCCCCCACCCACACACCACCCCACGGTGTTCACCAGACTGACCTCCGCAAGCCACCAAGGCGTTGGGGAGGAGTGCCAAACCCAGGCATCGACTCGCCTGCTGTTTGACCCTCGGTGAGGCCCCTGCCCTCCCTGGGCCTCAGCTTCCCCACTGGAGAAGTGGGGAGAATAAAGCCTGGCCCACGGGGTAGGCTGAGGCAGGCAGGGGTAGGAAGGAGAAGGAGGTAAACAGTGGGAGGAGATGCCCAGCGTGAGGGTTCCCCAGCTGCCTGGTGGCGCACCCCAGTGGGCAGAGGGCAAGCTGGAAGCTACTCTGAGACACTGAACAAGCCTCTTGACCTATCTGGGCCTGTTTTCCTGTGAGCCAAACAGGGATGAGGGCGATTCCTCCACTCTAGCAGCTGGGCACGTGGTGAGAGCTCACTTGGAGGAAGTAAGACAGGAGGACAGACCCCAGGGTGCAGGCAGTTGGGGTGGAGGGCAGAGGGTCAGCCTTACCTGGGTACTCCTGGGGGGATCCCTGGGGGGATCCGAACAGGCCGAGATGGGATCTGAGGTGGGGCTGGGAAGAGGTCATTGTTGGCAAACATGCTCTGGGGTCCAGGCCGGGATGGGATTGGGGGCGCTGAGAAGGAGGCTGCTGCCCCCACAGGCACAGGAATCAGGGGGGGCCCTGGAGTGGGGCCCCTCACCGCTGGGGGCCGGCCGGGGGGGTGTATGCTGGACACCGGTCGGCGCTGTGGAGTGGGGCTGTGAGGAAGGAGAGGCTGTGAGCTACAGATACAGATGGAGTAGGAGCCCCCGCCATGCCACTGTGGCTGCCAGAACTTGAGGTGGGGGCTGGCTGGGGGGGACAGTGCAGGTGCAGTGGGATCCTCCCACCCCAACCTGAGCGCTAGTCCCACCTTCCCTTGCCCTCGGCCCCCAAGGACTCCTGTTGCCCTCTGACCTCATCCCCACAGCCCCCACACGGCCAGACACTTCGCACTCACAGGGCCCCCTCAGGCCTTGGGCCTGGGATCCACCCTCACAGACAAAGACACTTCCAGAGTCCTCCAGATCAAGCCCTAATGCCTCCAGGGGCCGTGGAACCTGCAAGCCCTGTCCAGACACCCAGGTTCCCTCCTGGGCCTCCGCACCTGCTGCCTGCAGGCCTGGATACGATGTCCTCCCCCTAGGGAACGCCATGGTTCCCCAAGGGCTCTGCAGGGCAGCCCCCTCTGAGGTTCCCTGCCCGACGGCCTCAATGGACAACTCAGGGGCGGCGGCAGCTCTGGCCACGCCTTGCATTTGCCCCTCCAGAGCCTCCCATCTGCCCTTCTCTGTGATTGAGGAGGCTCGTCTCTCTCCTGTGGCTGCTGTCCCTCCAGCCTCTTACCCCGGCTTCCATTTGGGCTGTGCCGATGGAAGACGCCCGCAGAGGCAGGCAGGGTATTCATTCACAAGGTCCTGCCCTAGAGCTGCGGGGCTGGCTGGCCCCCATACCCTTTCTCTCCCTTCTCCGGCCGCAGCAGGGCAGCAGCTCCCACAGTGCCCAGCCCTGGGTGCCACCCCTTCTCCTGCCCACCCTTGGGTTGTGTCCTGTTTCCTGCCAGGACCCTGCAGGACACACAGGAAGGCCAGGAACCTGCAGGCCGAATGCTTGAGGGCAGGGGAACCAGGATTCCGGACCTGTGGCTGCTGGCGCTCTGGAGCCAGGTGTCGTCGACGGGCGGGGGTACGGGCGTGGACACGGTGCTGGTGCTGATGTCGCCGATGATGTTGAGCGCCTCCTTGAGGGCATGGTACATGCGCAGCATGTCGTCCCGCCGCTGTGCTTGGTCGGCCGACTCCTCCATGAGGCTGCTCTGGTCCGCTGAGGAGTATAGGTAGGCCAGAAGCTCGTGGTGGATGAAGGCCTTCGTCTGTGGGCAGGGGTTGGGGAGGGTCAGGCTTGCACATCACCCAACCCAGAACCCACAGTGATTGCTGGAAAAACATCTCCCACAGGGCGGGGCCACCCCCAGACTTTTTTGCAATTCTCCTGCTTCAGCCTCCCGAGTAGCTGGGACCACAGGTGCGTGACACCATGCTTGGCTAATTTTTGTAATTTTTGTAGAGATGGGGTTTCACCATGTGGCCCAGGCTGATTATGAGATTCTTATTCAACTTACTTCTAGTATCTTGCCTCTTCTATTGATATCTTTTCTCCTGTTTTAGCTTATTTATTTATTTATTTCCTTAACCTTGGCAGAATAATCCTGTTATATCTTTTTTTTTTTTTTTTGAGATGGAGTCTCGCTCTGTCGCCCAGGCTGGAGTGCAGTGACGCGATCTCAGCTCACTGCAACCTCTGCCTCCCGGGTTCATGCCATTCTCCTGCCTCAGCCTCCCAAGTAGCTGGGACCACAGGCACCTGCCACCACGCCCAGCTAATTTTTTTGTATTTTTAGTAGAGACGGGGTTTTACCGTGTTAGCCAGGATGGTCTCGATCTCCTGACCTCATGATCCGCCCGCCTCAGCCTCCCAAAGTGCTGGGATGACAGGCGTGACCTACCGCGCCCGGCCTCATTTTTGTATTTTTAGTAGAGGTGGGGTTTCACCATTTTGGCTAGGCTGAGTCTTGAACTCCTGACCTCAAGTGATCCGCCTGCCTTGGCCTCCCAAAGTGCTGGGATTACAGGCCTGAGGCACCGCACTCAGCTGCCTCCTTCTCATTTTTAGTTCTCCACTCACATTGTTGATCATGAGGTGCATGATGGTCTTTGGCATGAGGTCGCGGATGGACTTGTTGATAATGGCCACGTACGAGTCCACCAGGTTGCGAATGGTCTCCACCTGCCGCTCCAGTTGGGGGTCCATGGAGAAGGTGTTCTCCTGGGCTCCGTCCTCATTTTCTGCCTGCAAGTGGGAGGGGAGGTGCTGAGGGGTGACTGTGGCCTGGGGCAAGTCCTGGTTCTCTGGAAACCATCTGCTCTATTGTCCGACCAATAACTGACCCCAGGCTGGCCCCTGACAGCCCCACTGGTACCAGGTAGGCCTGCCTGCCCCGGGCCAGAGCTGCCCAAACAATGGGGTGACGCTGGCTGATGCTGGGGTGGATCCCCTCACCTGGGTATTGGAACATCGTTTTTTTTTTTTTTTTTTTTTTTTTTTTTTTTTGACACAGTCTTGCTATGTCACCCAGACTGCAGTGCAGTGGCACAAACACGGCTCACCACAGCCTCGACCTCCCGGGTACAGCTCAAGTGATCCTCCCACCTCAGCCCCCTGGAGTAGATGGGATTACAGGGGTGCGCCACCACACCTGCGTATGTTTGTATTTTTTGGAGAGACAGGGTTTTGCAACATTGCCCAGGCTGCTCTCGAACTCCTGGGTTCAAAGGATCTGCCCGCATCGCCTCCCAAAGTGTTGGGATTACAGGTGTGAGCCATCACACCCAACCTTAGGACATTTTATTTTATTTTTGAG